TATCAGTTACAGAGCGTGTTCATAGAAACTAGCAATCGCATAAGGACGGTGTTAATCTAACATCGTAACATGTTAAAAGAAAGATAGTTTGTCATATGCAATGCACAGACAACTCAGAATAGCACTCGAAAAAACAAGTTTTTTGGTGCTCAGCCAGCACAGCCCAAACGACGCCCACAAAAGGGTTGCTAAGGCTTCCCATCGTTGCATGACACATAGAATCAAAAGGTAAAGGCAATAACCGTGCAAGGATGCTGTCCATTTTCTAGATATTGGCGTGTCCCTATTCTCCTGCGTCCCAATTCTCCCGCCTCTCCCCTATTGTCGTTTTGGGATGAAATTGCGGATACCTACTCGTATACAAATTGAATCTGCGAATTGCTGACACTGTACCCTTGCTTACAGGGCTGCGGGGTAGATGATTTTGAATTTTTGGTAACTCCGACTCCGGCTTTAAAAAAAAAAACGCTCGGAGTCCCCACTCCATCTCCGACCACGGCATCCCTCGGCCCGCATCGGTGTGAAAAGAACATGTGATGTGATGCTTTTGTCTCTTTGAACGTTTCTTGGCACATTAAAAGATAACATTGCCTACGAGGTGCAGCTCTGGACTGTCCGTCCCAGGTCCTCGATAGGGAGCCAAAGCTCCAGTTGTAGGGGCTGAAGATCTGTCCCAAAGTCTCAGAGTGCAGTAGGACAACAGCTTGCAGAGACCACACATTTTACATAGGATATTCGTAATAGTCTAGACCTTCAGCTCACTCTCAAACGGCCCTCTTCCCGTTCGAGGCCATCCGACAGCAGAAGGTCTCACCATGGCCTTTGAACGCTTGGTGCTTGAGGGTGAGCGGACCTCGTCCTGGTCTAAGAGAGCCCAGGAGGACGTAATGCTCAGTATGCCCCTACATTGGTCTTACCATGACCCCTACAATCACCACAGCCAACAGAATCTCCAGCTCTTATTCGACCCATCCTCGGGGATGACGTTGACTCTGACTTCAGAGTTGAAGTCTGTTACGATTTTGGTGACTCCAACTCCGTATCCGACCAAAATCGTCGACTACGACCGAAGTCGACTCCGACCCCGCAGTCCTGCAGCTACACTGCACAGAAGTTGGAAAAAAGCTGTACCTATGGTTGACAGCGGTTTATAGAGGACCACACGATTTTTTAGAGGCAGGGCTGCTGGACTTGGTGACCAGACCCTAACTGTCCTGGTATCAAACTTATTACGCGGGATGCAAAATTTATGCGTTTTGGGACTGTTTTGCCAAGAGTTTTGCCAATTTTCGCGGCGCTTCGCGCCGCCAATTCATGCACAGGTAGAAAATAGTGTGACTAATAACGCCTCCACGCGAGAACATGAGAACATGTGTATTGTGTATGCGTTACAATTAGTGCATAGGCCTGAAATTGTACGGTAAACTAACTAACTTTTGGGTTTTTAGTCAGCCAATCCGTCCCCCCCAGTCAAAAATCCGTGGCGACGCCCCTGGCGACATGTGGTAAGCGGCAATCGAAAGAACGTCCAAAATAAGGACGAAAACACTTCGGTCATTTTTTGGGTCAGGTCAAAGGTCAGGTCACCAGAGGTCACCAAAGGTAAAATGTTGACTATTTCAACATTTTGGAAACTGCCAACGGCTATCTCGGGAACCGATAGAGCTACAGCGCCTCGGAAAAGCCCATTCGATAGCCCTTTTACAGACCTTTCTGAGTAATGTTCTCAGATTTGACTTCAGGTCAACGGTTTAGCCTCCAGTGGGCAAAAACTCCAAAAATAGCCGTTTTTACGAAAAGTGTTTTTTCGGCAATAACTTTTGACTCAAAAGAGCCATGACATTACTTTTGCCACCATCGTGTTCCTCTCGTCGAGACGCTTCGAATGAACTATAATTTGACCTTGAAAGGTCAACTTGAAAATTTGACCTCAGGTCAAGCTCATGACCTGACCGGAAAAGGTCATGTTGCATATCAGTCGATCCGCAACGTCGAGCCGAACACATCTAAGGCGTTTTCAGCGCTCTAGCACGTCTCTATCAGAAGTTATTAGCGAAAAACTGTTAGATTCTGTTCGTGACCTGAGATGACCTCGGGGACATAACGAGGGGTCACAGTTGCCATTTTCCGGTTCAGTGTGTCAATTCTACCTACATCTCGTTGTTTGAGAGTGTCTAGAATAGCGTTCGTGCAAAACAGACGCTTTTCAATTTTCTCCCATTGACTTATAACGGAGAGGTCGCAAAATTGACCTGACCTTAGGTCACCGATATCAAAATTCCGAGTTATACATTTGATAGATAATGTTGCTCTTATCAATCGCTGAAAGTTTCAAAGCAATCGATCAATCGGTTTAGCTATGACGAGCATTCTTATTTTTTCTGAGGTGAGGTCACTTGGCGTGACCTGGTGACCTGACCTAAGGTGACCTGGGTCTGAAATTTTCACAACATGTGCGGAAAATATGCACGAACAGGTGTGCCAAAAACCGCAGGGGGGTGTTCAAACACCCCCGGCCCGGCGCGGGTTAACGTCATTTTTACGAAGTTCGCTGACCCATGCTAATGGTCATGCTAATGTTCTGGTCACTTCTGAAGTCCCTGCTTCAGATTTTTGAGTTGACCCATGTTAAGGGTAAATAATTTAAAGCAGGCAAGACCTGACCGAAAACCATGATTCGTGAAACAGTAGTTAGTATGAAAAAGCCGTAGAACCTACAGTTCTTCCATCGCAGTGCACAGGAGTATTGTTGCACACATTTCAATTATTTTGCTGGGAGTCCGCCCTCACTTTTTGTGCGTATCAGAAAAAAAAGATAGTATTTAACCCTATTCCGGGCGGGCTCTGAAAGCATCGATTCTGGGCGGGGGGCCTTTTCGCCCCCCCCCCCTTCAGATATAAAAAACTACGCATCGCAGCGACAAACGGCAAGCGGCGTTTGATAGGTCGTTTAAAGATCTACAATTTTTACATAAAACATTTTCAGGTCAGGTCAATATTGAGGTCACCAGAGGTCATCAACAATAAAATGTTTGGGATTAGTTAGCTATTTAGCTTTTAAACTGAGAAACATAGAGACATAAAATTAATACATTATTTGTTGCTCTCGTCGAGGCGATGCGAAATAAGTATGCAATGACCTTCACAGGTCAATTTGAAATTTGACCCGAGGTCAAGGTCAGGTCATTCATCAATGAGGTTGTGGGATATGGTCATGCTGCATACCAAACGACGCGCCTTGACCAGGCGAGCACTTTGGTACCACGTACAAGTCTTTAGCACCATCATGTCGTGATTTATTGACAGAAAAACGATTTATGACGTCACATGACCTCAGATCTGATGACCTTTCCCGGTGCCCCTGTCAATTAGCGGCGCCAGGATCATCACCGATGAGAAAACCTTTCATAATACTGAAAGAATTGGGTGGTTTCGGCTCGTTTACACGAAGCAGGAGGCGCTTCAATATTTTCCCATAGGCTTGCAATGTAAAGGTCACGAGTCTGACCTGACCTCAGGTCACAGATATAAAAAGTCTGAGATATACAAATTGCACATACTGGTACCCTAACTAAAACCTGAAGAGAAGAAATTGATCCGTCAAAAACTCTAGCTCTGGCGTGATTGCAAACTTTTCTGAGGTGGGGTCACCAAACCGCCTCTGGTGACCTGACCTGACCCGACCCGGCAACTTTTTTTGTCAAAATGTTCGCAATGAATGTTAAGGAAAAGTCAACGAGTATGAGCTTTCAGTCTTGCGGCGTTTGGCAATGGCACAAGAAAAATCTAAAGGGGGTCTTAAAGCCCCCCCCCCCGCCCGGAAAAGGGTTCACCCGCGCCGGGGGTGTTTGAACACACACACCCCCCCCCCGCGATTTTTCGCAGATATCTCAAAAGCGGCGGCGCGGAGCGGAGGTCGCGGTCAGTCAAAACGGCGGCGCGGAGGTCAAATTTTCAAAATGACCTTTCAAGGTCAAAAAATAGTTCATTCGACGCGTCTCGACGAGAGAAACACGATGCTGCCAAAAGTAAAGTCATGACTCTCTTGAGCCAAAAGTTATTGACGAAAAACCATTTTCGTGAAAGCTGCTATTTTTACACTTTTTGCCCTCTGGAGGCTAAACCGTTGACCTGAGGTCAAATCTGAGAACAATACTCAGAAAGGTATGTAGAAGGGCTATCGAATGCGCTTTTCCGCGGCGCTGTAGCTCTATTGGTTCCCGAGTTAGCCGTGGGCAGTTTCCAAAATTGTTCAAATGGATTACATTTGACCTTTGATGACCTCTGGCGACCCAAAAAATCTCTGGCCTGACCCAAAAAATGACAAAGTGTTTTCGTCCTTATTTTGGACGCCCTTTCGAATGCCGCTTATCGTGTGTCGCTACGTGGCCCAGGAGCCGAGTTAGACGGGGGGGGGGGGTGTTCAAACTTCAGACAGACTTCAGGCCCGGCGCGGAAGTCGCGGAGCACCAGCCCGGCGCGGGTTTATCAGCATGTAACACCCCATTCGTAGGCAAGCAGATAACTTCGGAATGCGGTCGACCCCTTCCTTGCTACTTGCACTTTAGGGGCATGCTGTGGAGAGGTCATTAGGCCAAATTACTGCTGAACACAACAGGTAGCCTGGCATACGGTAAAACTGGGTGTGTGTGTGTGGGGGGGGGGGGGTGCCTCCCCAAGTCACGATGACGCCTTTTCAGGCGCACTGCTGACATCACACACACAATGGGTGAAGAGGTATACGGCGGAATCCCTGATCCTGCACGTCAAAAGGTCTGATGACGCTCTTATTTAGCGACACATTTATGAGAAGGAAAACATCAAAGCGGCTGGTGGGACGCGGCCTTTATAGTAAGCAGGCATTCTGCGTAATTTTAGCGAATATCTTGTAATTATACTAAGGAAAAGATGAATGTAATTCAACAAAATGATGTTCATATCGGTTCATGATAAACATCAACTGCGCTGCTAATGATATACGCTAAAACGAAAAACACGGCTTCACACAATCAGAGCAGCATAGTGTATTCCCTACAACGCCAGAGTCTAGCATTCGTCATATATGTACTCTTAACTTGTGGACGACATTCTCGCACGCTGACCGGGGATCAGGCGCGCCGCCTCAGTTTCCCCTCCCACCAGCTGTGTGGCCGCGCGCTGGCAAAGTGGTAAAATGCGCACTTCTCCCCGTTTCAGTAGGAAGGTATATCCTTCTGTTAGTATATCTTCGTAAGAACACGATAGTTGGATACTCGAGGAAAGGGCATGAAGACACTATTTGAGGATTGAGTCCCTACCCGTACGTGTAATAAAACTCCACCGGTGAATGAATTGTGTTAGGTTACAAACTATCTAGAAGGCTGGGATATAATGTGACAATTATTTCATAAGTATGCAAGATTACAACTAAAATTACCCGACGTTTCGTTTATTAAAACTTTTTTCAAGGGTAATTACCCTTGCAAAAGTTATAATAAACGAAACGTCGGGTAATTTTTGTGGTAATATCTTGCATATGAAATATCTAGAAGGCTCTGCGCTCTGCAGTAGGACAGTCTCGAAGAGCGGTCCTGCGGGCGGACAGTATCGAAAAGCGGTTCTGCGGGCGGACATCCCTCAGAACCAGGGTATATAGAACAACGGGTACGCCAACGACGCGGAAAGCGCCCATTTTACCCGGATAAGTTATTGGGTAGGTGATATATTTTTTGAATAGGTATGGAAAAATAGAATATTTCCTCCTGACGAGTAAAGCCAAATTCATAAAGCACTTATGTTTAAATCATATGTACCAGAAAACTTAGTCTAAAGTTAATAGAAAAGGGTATAGTTGATACTAAGATGGAAGGAATCAATAGACGCGTTTACATAGGGTTCGTTGCAAGCTTATGTCTCCGTCCGGGATGTTGCAAAAGATGCCAATGGTGCTTAACAATTTACAAAATGATCCTCTCCATATGTCTGAAGACCACTGAATCGTAATGATCGCCAAATAAACGAGCCTCGTCAAAAATGCCGTGTAAACGCGACTATTGGAAGGCAGAAATGGCGCAGCTGCTCCATTCTTTTAAAACGTGTTCACAAGCAGGATTTACGTGACGCTAGCGACATCTATTCATGTAAGCCGGGACGCCGATTGGCTGATTGAGTCCGTGAGCAGTATCAGTAATTTACGCCAGTACAGGGCTGAGGCAATATGCGCATGCGCAAGAACTTATGCTCTCAGGAGGTGTTTTCGGTACATCGGGCAGCGCCCAATGCTTTTTGGACCTGTTATGGCGTCTGCATCGAAAAGGCTAGATAAAAAGGTTGTAGGGAAAGCTTGCGGCTACCTTTCCCCGCAATAAAATTGGCGCTTTCTCTTTTGGCTTACGTGTGAGGCTCGCTTGAAAGAGGTCGATTGAACATGGGAACCCTATGGGGTAGTAGTTTTTGAGCGCCCATTTGGCCTAATGCTACCAACTGTTACTGGCTACTCCTGCTTAGACCCCATGCAGTCGGCCGGGCGGACATCCCTCAGAACCTTAGCAGCGGTCCGGCCGGGCCAGCATCCCTCAGAACCTCAGCAGCCGGCCGGGCGGACATCCCTCAGAACCTCAGCAGCCGGCCGGGCGGGCATCCCTCAGAACCTCAGCAGCCGGCCGGGCGGGCCAGTATCCCTCAGGCGCTCTGCAGCGGTCCGGCCGGGCCAGCATCCCTCAGAACCTCAGCAGCAGGCTGGGCGGACATCCCTCGGAACCTCAGCATCAGGACGGGCGGACATCCCTCAGAACCTCAGCAGCCGGCCGGGCCAGCATCCCTCAGAACCTCAGCAACGGTCCGGCCGGCCGGGCCAGCCTCCCTCAGGCGCTCTGCAGCAGTCCGGCCGGGCGGTCCTCCCTCAGGCGCTCTGCATCGGGACGGCCTCGAAGGGCGGTCCGCCGCGCGCGAACCTGATCCGGTTGTAGAAGTCGAACACCACGATCAGCCACCAGGTGTAGAGTTTGAACATGATGACGATGAAGACGAACGGCAGCACGAGTCCAGTGACGATGTGTCCGGTGACAGCCGCCGGCGGGTGGTGCCGCAGCTGGGCGCGCACGGCCGGGAACGCCACCAGCAGCGAGACGCCGAACAGGCCCGCCGCAGCCGTGCACAGGATGGTCCAGATCATAAACGGCAGAGCCAGGTACCGGTTCGTCTGCCGGCAGCGTCAGCGTGATAGGGAGAGAGAAGAGGAGGAGAGAGAAAGAGAATGAGAAAGAGAAAAAGAAGAAGAGGAAGACTAAGGAAAAGAAGAAGAAGAAGAAGAAACAGAAGGAGAAAAAGAAACGACAGATCTGCCTGAACAAGAGAGTAACAGATTCATGTCAACTGTCATTCACAATGCACAGTGCTTCAATTAAACTACGGTAGTGAGGTCGACAGTGGCGCCAGCAGTAGAACGTCACCTTTCTATAAAAGTATAAACGAACCGCGATTAGCAGGAGCAGACACACCAGCAGCAGACGGCACGTCACCATTCTGACGGTGAGCGGCTGCAGCAGCAGCAGCAGCAGTTACTATGGTGAGACGGTACCTTTCTGACGGCACGTCACCATTCTGACGGTGAGCGGCAGCAGCAGCAGCAGTTACTACGGTGAGACACGTTACCTTTCTAACGGCGGCAGCAGCAGTTACTATGGTGAGACGGTACCTTTTTGACGGCGGCAGTAGCAGTTACTACGGTGAGACACGTTACCTTTCTAACGGCGGCAGCAGCAGTTACTACGGTGAGACGGTACCTTTCTACGGCGGCAGCAGCAGTCACTACGGTGAGACGTTACCTTTCTGACGGCGGGAGAAGCACCACCGCCAGAATACCAGGAGAAACGTTACCTTTCTGACGGCAGCAGTAGCAGTCAATACGGTGAGACGTTACCTTTCTGCCGGCGGGAGAAACGCCACCAGCAATACCAGGGGAACGTTACCTTTCTGACGGCGGGAGAAGCGCCACCAGCAATACCAGGGAACGTTACCTTTCTGACGGCGAGCAGCAGCAGCAATACCAAGGGAACGTTACCTTTCTGACGCACATTGCTCCAACAGACGGTAAATAACGGGGAATATTTGTTTCTGGTCCCTAAAAAGCTGTTTCTGGCACCTAATTGCTGATCAGCCCCAAAATGCTTATTCGACCCTAATATCTGAATCTGGCACCTACTTGCTTCCACACAGCCTAAAGTTGCCAGATCGTCTAGTTGAACTCCGTATTTGCTGTTTGCTGATTCAGCACCAAAACCAAAACATCCAGCACCTATTTTATTCCACATTTGCCTACCTAATTCGCGTAATCTTCCTGATTTTATGTATCCTAACAAACATTAACGTTGCATTCGGTGATGTCAAGTGCCATTTTCACCAGTGGAGATAATGATTAATGGCTAATGCCATTTCTAGCCAAAAGAGAATCACTAGCCAGCTATTGGTGCAGCATAGCAAGATGCTCCTATACCAGCCCGCTATGTAGAGATTATTGCACCCTCAGCCATTTTAACGTGAAAAGTTTGGATCCGTCACTTCCAGCCAGGCTCTCAGGTCATAAACTGGAGTAAAGCAAAATGTCAACTCTGAACAGACATGCCACGCAACCGGCCCTCTTTTCAATAGCTTTCTGCAATCATCGTCTGACTCCATCTCGATCAAACGCAGCATCCGGTTTCTACAGGGGCGTTTGACTGACCGGCCACACAATAACCAAAAACAAAATCAAAGCTTCATGCACACATAAGTAAGAAACGGATGAAAAAGGCACAACCACGGCACAACTCCTCTGCGCGGTAAACAACGGACAATATTCCACGCAAGATCCCGCGTTTCTTCAGCGGCCTTGAACGGAATGAAAACATTACATTTCTTTTTTAGAGCTATTTGATGACGTCAAAAAATACAATACCCGTTGTAATGGTCAAAATCGAGACAATTACTCACAAAAATGTTTCCCTTTAAGCATTGCAAATAAATAATTTTAAATATTTAATTGACATTGTTTTTTTCAAACAAATCAATATTAGTTGCTTACTTAAACGTCATATACAATGCTGAGATCACTACGGGGCTGTCTTAGAGTGTAGCTGCACTGGCAACCTTTAGGCTAGACTCCAGGGGTCATTATACCAGAACAACATGATTCTACCAGCCAGTAGTTCATTTTTCCACTAGATTGGTGCTACGCTCAGCATTTAGGTGCCAGATTCAGAAAAAAAGAGTAAGGCGTACCGATGAATAGGTGCCAGAAACAGCTAATTAAGGTCATTTTCCATGATTGGTGCTGGTATCCACCAAATAGGTGCTGAGGACCAATTTTGGGGCGAGTCAGCTTTTAGGTGCCAGAAATAGCTTTTCTGGGACGCAATTAAATGGCGTCCGTAAATAACTTTTGAAAATACCCATCTCCAATTTTAGTGTTTTCTGAACAAAAATTTTGCGAGGAATCCGATGGTGTGGTCCCCGAAATCTGAAAAATTGCCAATTTGGAGATAGCACCTATTTTTTGAAAAGTAAATATTCGTCATGCACAAAAGTCAAATAAAATATTAAAATATATTGAGTGAATATTTATATTAATACTAGAATGTATCGAACATGAATTAGTGACATATTTTAGCTGAGATGATACTATATCTGCGCATACATGTACATAAACTAGTACATTAACCCTCGCCGGCCGAGAAGGGGTGGGGCGGATGCCGCCTCATAGGTGTTTTTTTTTTTCGCGATACCTCAAAACACGCTGAGGGAAAACAGCTGAAACTTGGTATACCTAATATTTTATTCAAGCTGGATCTTTTGACACCAACTGCGTTTTCAGGTCAGGTCAGGTCACTGACCTATGACGTCATAAATGAACCTCTGCACGGTCCTCAGAAGTTGCAACTTTGCAACGCCCTCAGTGCCAGAGGAACTTTCACAGGAAGATGAAACTTACAGGACGTAGTATCCTTTAGAGGTCTCACAAATTGTATATCTCAGATTTTCCCCAAATGTCACATGAGGTCAGTTCGGTCACGTGACCTCACCATAATAAGTCAATGGAGGGAAATATGAAAACGGTTATTTTGGCGCCGGAAATTGTCTAAAAACTGTCCCAAGCACATGAAATCGTGGTTTCATGCACTCTTTGTAAGGTCCGATCATGAAACCACGATTTCATGTGCTTGGGATAGTTTTAGATCATTCCCGGCGCCAAAATAACAGTTTCAATATTTCCCCCATTGACTTATAATGGTGAGGTCACGTGACCGACCTGACCTCATGTCAGGCACGTAGCTAGGATTTGGCCAAGGAAGGGGCGGAGGAATCCCGGGGGCCTCCTTTCTAAACAGGGCCTCCTCCCTAAAGGGGCCTCCTTTCTACAAAGGGTCTCATGCCTACATAATTACTTACAACATAATGCATTCACTTTTGTTCAGTTTTCATGTGACCAGCGCACTGGTATGTTTCTTTATTTTTACCGCTGCAGCGGTAAGAAACATACGCATATCACAAGTCTCCGAGTGGCATGATAACTGGCAAAAAAAACTCGGGCGCCGGCGGCGGCCGAACCGCAGCAGGAGGGGGAGGATCTGCGAGGAATGGGAGGATACTGGATGACGGTCAGAGTAACACTTGGTGTACATATTATCATGTATCGTTCAAGCGCTTAACCGTATTCCGGGCGGGCTCTGAAAGACTCTGAATCGGGCGGGGGCCTTTTTGGCCCCCGTCAGAACTCGAAAAGCACGAATCGTAGCGACAAACGGCAACGGCGTTTGATAGTTCGTTGAACGACTTACATCTTCTGTAAACAACTTTTTTGGGTCAGGTCAATATTGAGGTCGCCAGAGGTCATAACAAATAACATGGTTTATAACGACCTACATAGATAGGTCAACTTCAAAATCGGGCCTAGGAAAGTCACACTGGGTACCAATCGACGCGTCATGACCAGGCGAACGGTTTGGTACACTAACAACTATTTAGCCCCATCATGTCGTGATTTATTGGCTAAAAACTGTTGATGACCTCACCTCACCTCAGATGATCCTTCCCGGTGCCCCTGTCAGTAAATGCCACTTGGATGCTTACAGATCAGATAATCTGACGTAATTCAGAAAGAATTGGGTGGTTTTGACTCGTTTTCTCGAAGCAGGACACAGTTCATTATATTTTCCAATAGGCTTGTCACGATTCTGACGTGACTGACGTCTGCAAGATTGAAACTATACGGTTATCAATTCTTTCTGTGTGAATGATGCCACGTTTACTTGCTGTACATAAGTAAAACATGGCTTCGTTAGTAAATTTTCCTAGGTCCAGGTGGTTTGCTTCATTTACGCCGTAGATGAAACAATCGATGAATAGGTATATATTAATTTCCCGGTCAAATAAATTATTATTAGTTGTGCGAAGCATGGCTATGGGAATATCACCACGGTCTATTAAATGGTTCGGGTAATTGCGTCCATCGTAAAAATACCAACACAGTCACAGGTATATATTACAGAAATGGGCTGCTGTGTTCATGCATTAACCCGCGCCATGCCGAGGGGTGTTAAACACCCCCCTGCAGTTTTCCGTGAATATCTCAAAAACGGCGGCGCGGCACACTTTATCCTACGTCATTTCTATATATGTTGTGAAAATTTCAGACCCTGGTCACTTAAGGTCAGGTCCCCAGGTCAGGTCAAATGATCTCGCTACATAAAAAGTTTCAATGTCTGCCAAAGCTACACGGAGTGACCAAACGCTTTGAAACTTTCAGAGATGCAAATGCACAAGAGCGACAAAATGCAAAAAATGTATGTCTTGGGATTTTGATATCGATGACATAAGGTCAGGTCAATTCTGCGACCTTAAATTGAAAGTCGCCTTTTTAGACGGAAGTCATTATAAACACTCTAAAACGCTGAATTACTAGTATCCTAGACACATTGAACATGAAAATGGCACCCGTGACCCCTTTTTATAACCCTGAGGTCATCTCAGGTTACCAATGGTATCTGACTGTTTTTCGTGAATAACTTTTGATAGAGGCATATGCTAGAGCGCTGAATACACCTTAGTTGTGTTTGGCTCGACGATACGGATGGACTGATATGGAACTAAGCCCTTATCGGTCAGGTCATGACCTTGACCTGAGGCCAAATTTTCAAGTTGACCTTCAAGGTCAATTCATAGTTCATTCCACACGTCTGGACGAGAGGAACACGATGCTGGTAAAGGGAAGTTCGTGCAAATTTTGAGACGAAAGTTATCGCCGAAAACTGGTTTCCGAAAATATCGGCTATTTTGGCAGTTTTTGCGGCCACTGCAGGTAAAACCGTTGACGGCAAAACCATTGACGGCACCCGGCATGATTTCTCTGAGCGCATTTATACAAATAATTTGTCTACATAGGATAGGCCTTCTGTTTACAGAGGACCTCCTCCCCTGTCCCTTCCTACAGTGGGCGGCGACGCGGTTAGGAGTCTATTCTGTACAGTTTCCTGAGTTCTCAGTTTTCACTATAGTGAGAACTGAGAACTCTCTATAGAGAGCAGCAGTGACCAGCAGGGTTGTGCTTGACTCATGAGTCGAGTCAGAAATTTGACTCAACTCTGACTCAAATGAGTCAGATTTGAGTCGATTCGGATAAAATGTTGAGCTGTTGAGTTGAGTCAGAGTTGAGTCGGACAAAATATTAAGGCGTTGAGTTGAGTCAGAGTTGCGTCAGTAAAATAACTTTTGACATTAAATTGAGTCAAACATTTAAGAACATGAGTCAGCTGACTCAACTTTCTAGAAACAAGCTTTTCATTCCCCCACCCCGCTTAACAACTTAGCCCTGGCCCTGCTGCCGGTTCCCCCCCCCCCCCCCGCTCAACAACTTTTCTATCTGAATCAATTTTGAGTCAACTCACTTGTCTCAACAAAAATTTTGAGTCAAGTTTGAGTCGACTCATATTTTCATTCAGTCGCTTGAGTCATGAGTCGAGTCAATGGAAAAAATCAGCTCCTTGTTTGAGTCAGAGTTGAGTCAGGGCTTTCTGAAGTTGAATGATGAGTCGAGTCTGCAATTTTTTTCTGAGTCGAGCACAACCCTGGTGACCAGAAGCCAGAAGGTAATTTGCTTACAGTGGGCCTCCACTCTATGTACTTAAAGGGACTATCCCACCTTTAACATGGGGTTTGAGTTGAGATAGCCAAGTTTGCGGCGAGGTTCAGAAACCACTATCTATCTAGGTTGCAACCCCCGCAGCCTCTTGGTGTTGAAGAAATTCGTTCCCTTCATTTGAAAATGGGCCTTGTGCAAGGCCCTATCTTCAACATGGAGCGACCGTTAGTGTGACGTCACCTCATTCAGTCATTCTGATTTAAATGGGTTTGTTCGTTGAAAAATCGCTTAAAACTTGGTCTGAACTTTGTTGTGGTGCCTACAGAGTAAAAAGAATCAGCTTTATGACAGTAATGTGGCCTGGGGAAGGAGGTTATTTTGGGCTGTGACGTCACATATTTGAAAGTTTGTGTTTGGAATATGGGAAGCCTAAGATGTTTAATGAAAAATAAATGCCAGAACCGTGTTCCTGGTCATCCAATCTATAAAGTCGGGCACAATTTACCTGGTTTTAACAACATTTTAGAAGGTGGGATAGTCCCTTTAACCCGCGCCGTGCTGGGGGGGGGGCGTTTTTACGCCCCCCCCTCAGGTTTTTCGCGAATATCTCAAAAACGGCGGCGCGCAGCGCCGCCGTTTTTGGTACACGTGTTCCTACATCATTTCCGCACATGTTGTGAAAATTTCAGACCTAGGCCGTTCAAGGTCAGGTCACCAGGTCACGTCAAGTGACCTTACCTCAGAAAAAGTTCAAAGGCTCGCTATAGCTACACCGACTGAACGATCACTTTGAAACTTTCAGCGATTGATATGAGTAACAGTATGTATAAAATGTATATCTCGGATTTTTGATATCTGTGACCTAAGGTCAGGTCAATTTTGCGACCTCTCCATTATAAGTCAATGGGAGAAAATTGAAATGCGCCTCTTTTGGACGAATATCGTTCAAAACGCTCTCAAACATCGGTTCATAGGTAAACATGACACACTGAATAGGAAAAATGCACCTGTGACCCCTCTGTGTGCCCCTGAGGTCATCTCAGGTCATGAACGGTCGCCAGCAGTTTTTTGGCTATAACTTTTGATAGAGACGTGCTAGAGCGGTGAAAACACGTCAGATGTGTTCAGCTCGACGATACGGATCGACTGATATGCAACATGACCCTTTTCGGTCAGGTCATGACCTTGACCTGAGGTCAAATTTTCAAAATGACCTTTCAAGGTCAACAAATAGTTCATTCGACGCGTCTCGACGAGAGGAACACGATGCTGGCAAAAGTAATGTCATGGTGCTTATGAGTCAAAAGTTATTGACGAAAAAACGTTTTTCGTAAAAACGGCTATTTTTGGAGTTTTTGCCCTCTAGAGGCTAAACCGTTGACCTGAGGTCAAATCTGAGAACATTACTCAGAAAGGTCTGTAAAAGGGCTATCGAATGCGCTTTTCCGCGGCGCTGTAGCTCTATCGGTTCCCGAGATAGCCGTTGGTAGTTTCCAAAATGTTGAAATAGTCAACATTTTACCTTTGGTGACCTCTGGTGACCTGACCTTTGACCTGACCCAAAAAATGACCGAAGTGTTTTCGTCCTTATTTTTGACGCTCTTTCGATTGCCGCTTACCGCGTGTCGCTACGTGGCCCAGGAGCCGAGTTAGACGGGGGGGCGTGAAAACGCCCCCCCCCCCAGCACTCGGCGGAAAGTTCAGGCCACCAGCACGGCGCGGGTTAATATACGACGCTGTCTTTGACTACCGGGGGCCTCGTGCCCACAGAGGGCCTCTTATCTACAGAGGGCTTCCTCTCTACAGATTGCCTCTTATCTACAGAGGGCATCCTCTCTGCTGAGGGTGTCTTCCTCTCCAGAGGGCCTCCTTTACAGAGGGCATCCTCTCTACAGAGGGCCTCCTCTCTAGTCTCTATAGGGACCTCCTCTCTACAGAGGGCTTCCTATCTATGTAGGGCCTCCTCTCTTCAGAGTCTCGTCTCTACACAGGACCTCCTCTATACAGAGGACCTCATCTCTGCAAAGGGCCTCCTCTCTTCAGAGGACCTTCACTCTACAGAGGGCCTCCTACCTACAGAGGACCTCCTTTCTACTGAGGGAGTCCTCCTCTACAGAGGGCCTCCTCTCTTCAGACGATCTCCTCTCTACAGAGGGCCTCCTCTCTTCAAAGGGCCTTCTGATTTCAGACGGTTTCCTCTTTACAGAGGGCCTGCTCTCTACAGAGGGCCTCCTTTTTACAGAGGGCCTCCTTTTTGCAGAGGGCCTCCTTTTTACAGAGGGCCTCCTCTCTACAGGGGGTCTCCTCTCTAAGGGGGCCTCCTCTCTACAGAGGGCCTCCTACCCACAGAGGGCCTCCTCTCTACTGAGGAGTCAGAGGGGCCCTAGCGGTCAGACACAGACACTAGTGGTTATTCACAGGAGATGAGAAGAGCCCTAGCTGTCACTTGTCAGGCTGGTCAGAGGGTCCTGATTGTTCTGACGTCATTTTTTAGATTCCCGCGTGAATTTCTTTCGCCTCCGACGTGATTTTGGCCAACGTGGGCCTTCGGCCCACGTTGGATTCAGGCCGAAAGGATTCAGGCCAACGTGGGCCGAAGGCCCACGTTGGCCTGAATCCTTTCGGGGGGCCTCCTGAAAACCCCAAGGGAGGGGCGGGCGCCCCCTCCGCCCCCCCTTGGCTACGTCCCTGCCTCATGTGACATTTAGGTTAAATCCGAGACAAACAAGTTGTGAGACCTCAGAAGGATACTACGTCCTGTAACTTTCATCTTTCTGTGAAAGTTCCTCTGGCACTGAGGGCGTTGCAAAGTTGCAACATCTGAGGACCTCGCAGAGGTTTATTTATGACGTCATAGGTCAGTGACCTGACCTAACCTGAAAACGCAGTTGAGGTTAAAAGATCCAGTTTGAATAAAAGATTAGGTATACCAAGTTTCAGCTGTCTACCCTAAGCGAGTTTTAAGCTATCGCGAAAAGCCCTATGAGGCGGCACCCGCCCCACCCCTTCTCGGCCGACGAGGGTTAATGTACTAGTTCATGTACATGTATGCGCAGATATAGTATCATCTCAGCTAAAATATATTTCTAATTCATGTTCGACACATTCTAGTGTTGTTACAAAAATTAACTCATTATATTTTCAATTTATTTGACTATTATGTCTGACGAATATTTATTTTTCAAAAAAAAATAGGTTCTTTCTCCAAAATGGGAATTTTTCAGATCTCGGGGACCACACCATCGGATTCCTCGCAAAATTTTGGTCCAGAAAACACTAAAATTGGAGATGGGTATTTTCAAAAGTTATTTACCGTCTTTTGGGGCAATGTGGACGGCGACCATCAGCAGCAATACCAGGGAAACGTTACCTTTCTGACGGCGACCATCAGCAGCACGGCCACCAGCAGCGACACCAGCGAGACGCCGAGCAGCGAGCCGATGATGATTATTTCATCTCTGGTCGGCTCGCTCAGTATTAGCCTGGAATATAAGCAGCGCGGCGAGATAAACACGTAAATATAGGACAACGAAACGAGGATAAGCGGGCCATACACAACAACGAGACGAGTTTTATCAGAGCCATATAAAACGAGTAACGAGTAACCAGCTATGTATTGTCATACGCTTTAGCCCGCAAATTTCTGGGGGGGGGGGGGCGTTAAACACTCCACTTTTTTCGCCGCGCTATAGGCTATAGCTTCAAATCGGCGCGGCGCACGCACGCCAACGTTTGTGTCCCTGTAGGGAAGTGATTGAAGCTTATTATGACGAAGTTTCGAAAAAAGCGGTCTGAAATTTCTGCGCTATCAAGGTTTCAGTTAGGTCATGATTTCTGAGCTTTCGACCAAAAACAGCAGATAGGTAAAAAAAATAGGTACAAAACCACAAAAGCGACATAGAGACATACTGTAAACGCCATTAGACTACCGATACAATGAACAATCAAGTGTTGATCTTCGAATTATTGATTATCGATTTTTGATTTTGATTAGCTAACATTTTGGTGCCCGCCCTGCCCCGGGAGTAGGGGCAAAGTGGTCAAAATCCAAAGGTTTAAATGTTTCTCAATATTTTCTTTATATGAGCGCCTTTGGAAATGAAACGAAGTTGCTGTGAAAGGCAATTTATTAGGGATGGCATGATGGCATTGTTATTGTGATAATATGACCATGTTTGAAGGCGAAGTTCGGCATCGAGAAAAGCGTCAGGTGGCCTGTTTGCCACGGTCACCCGTGCGCATATCAAGTCAACTGAGCATGAGCATTTCAGCAATAGCCAAAAGACGTCTATCCTTATCAATGTTCAAGACCGTGATAACCCTTTACCTGAAATTCCTCGGACTGACCTCAGGTCCTCCTGGTCGAGGGTCGGCTCCCCCTCGAGTGGTAGCAGCCGGAGTAGTTCTGTCGTGTTCAGCCCTAACTCCGGCAGCTCCTGGACATGAAGCTGGATGAGCCGCGCAGCAAACCCGATAAACGCCAGGCCCGAGATCACCTGTCCAAACAGACCAGTGACGTCATATATACCCCACAAACGCCAGGCCCGAGATCACATGTCCAAACAGACCAGTGACGTCATATATACCCCACAAACGCCAGGCCCGAGATCACATGTCCAACAGACCAGTGACGTCATATATACCCCCACAAACGCCAGGCCCGAGATCACCTGTCCAAACAGACCAGTGACGTCATATATACCCCACAAACGCCAGGCCCGAGATCACCTGTCCAACAGACCAGTGACGTCATATGTGCCCGACAAACGCCAGGCCCGAGATCACATGTCCAAACAGATCAGTGACGTCATATATACCTCACAAACGCCAGGCCCGAGATCACCTGTCCAAACAGACCAGTGACGTCATATATAACACACAAACGCCAGGGCTGAGGGCCGAGATCACCTGTCCAAACAGACTGCTGACGTCATAATAACCCCACAAACGCCAGGGCCGAGAGCCGAGATCACCGGTCCAAACAGACCAGTGACGTCATATAAACCCGACAAGCGCCAGGCTCGAGATCACCTGTCCAAACGTACTGCTGACGTCATAATAACCCCACAAACGCCAGGGCCGAGAGCCGAGATCACCGGTCCAAACAGACCAGTGACGTCATATAAACCCGACAAGCGCCAGGCTCGAGATCACCTGTCCAAACAGACCAGTGACGTCATATGTGCCCGACACACGCCAGGCCCGAGATCACCTGTCCAAACAGACCAGTGAGTGTCATCATACTTGGCTCTTGGCGGCCTGGGCTAAGAACGGGCCATGTCTGTTCTCGGCTGACCTCGGCTGATAAATGAGCTATGGTGTGACCGGTCAGCGATAGCGCACGGTTTAAAGCTTTTCTGAAAGCTCTTAAAAATGTTAGCTTTAGACAAAGTTACAAAAGTCAAAATGGGTGTTTTACTCCGGTACGGGGGCAAGGCTTCCGAGGGACAAAGCGGCAAGCGCACCACATAAAGTAATCAGCATAATAAGCATTCCTGGGTGAAAACAAGCCTCTGCAGTCTGCTGTAGCTTTAGCACTGCGGTGCGTATCTAGAAATTGTTGCTCATGAATGTTAGCTAAGCCATGAATCAAGTTTAGGCCATGAATCAACCATGTGATTGGGCAGCATTCGGAATGATCCACTTGCCAACTGCAGTCACGGTGAAGAAATCAAACCCATTGCGGTTAGGAAATGTTGATATCTGTCGCTGGCTGAGTGACTGCAGTGAAATGGCCCGGCTCATGACCCTCCCCCCCCCCCCCTGTCCTCCTACCCGACGGTTACATATGTGCAGCGGTGAGTATTTCGGAAAATCCCGTCAATAACGATTTTCGAATTCGTTATCGAGGATAACATTTTTGCAAGTTTGTCGTTATTGATTATCGTTATCGAGGTAGCGTTATCAAAGTCCCCGTTTCGGTTAATCGATAACGATAACCTCATCAAATAGCCGCGAGCGTTTTAAAGAGAATAGTTCACCTTTACCATGGGGGTTTGAAATGACATAGCAGTTTTGTAGATTGACACTGAAAAATGCTATTTGGAATGTCTTTTAGCTCAACAAGGTCTGTCGCCAAAGATATTCAAGTTTTTGTTTGTACGTTTGTTTATTTGTTTGTACGAGAAAAATATTTTTGTTCTAGTTCATTATTTAGTAGGCCCTCCCTTTTGTGTAAGCAGCTAGGTAATAACCCGCGCCCCACTGGGGTCTGTGTATAACACGCCCTACTGGGGGGGGGGCTATTCATAGCCCCCCTCCTAACTCCGAAACTACTGAGCCGATCGTCAAAATTCAAACGGCGTCTGATAGCCCCGGAAAAAAAAACTGTCGAGCGAAACCTAATTTCATTGACCTCGAGGTCACCGATGACGTCACAGGTCAGGTCAAAGTAAAAATTATTAGCATTTTGGCTTGTTCACATTTTGGGCTCTGGCCGCCGTCTTACAAGTCAGATCAGGCTCATTTTTGGTTTCCACACTCGTGAACAGATGCTCTATGTACAGGTCTCGCGAGATTAAGCGGTAGGTTTTGCACTTTTACATTTCCGGTTATATCTCAGAAACTAATCGATCTACGATGAAGCCATTTTACACGATCATGGCCGGCTTGTTACCCAACAAGTCGATCGCATCTTCAACACTTAAAAGCTTGAGACGACGAAGATATAGCCTGAAGTACACTAAATTTTCTAGGTGCAAAATCTACCGCTAAAACCCGCGAGACCTGTACATTGAGGGTACCAAACTTGTACTTTGATTTTCAGGTCAGGGTCAGGTCATCACAGGTCACGGTAATATTATATCATGCGTCGGTCACGTGACACATGTTTTATGGTCTATTTAGGCCATAGATTTCGAATTTGATGTCGTCTATGTCATTCGAGGTCATTTTGAGTCGAATTTAGCTTAGGACAAAAAAGCACTTTAGCACTTTCAGGTCAAAAAAGGTCAAATTTTGAAGTTAACATTTTTCAACAAAAAAGGTGTCTACTGGATGCAGTTTGAGCTCAAGAACACGATGGTGCCATTTATATTGGTGTACGATGTCAAATACGTACTGCAAAATTGACTTGAAAAATTAATTATTGTGAGTTTTTTGCAATAACGCATATAACTTGGCCATTTTTAAAGATATTTAGCTAAAACTTGCTAGAGTTAGTCATAATCATGCGTTCTGTCACATATGTTCCGGTTTTTTCGAAAAAACAAAAACTTTTTGAAAAATATCAAAGTATAAATTTTGAATATTATTATATAAAATTTTAAAAAAAAAATTCAACATTTTGAAAATTCAAGATAGCAGTTTGATAGCGCGGTCAATTCTGAGTCCTTTCATGCAAAGAAATTGGATCTAGCTTAAAAGCTGAGCTCTTGGGAGCGATTGCCGTGGTTCAATGTTTTGCGTCGAAATCGGACGAACATGACGTCACTCTGACGTCATTTCCAGCCGACCTATGGTAGTTACGAAGTTCAAATTTTGACACAAGGTGTCAAATTGATGCAGCCGAAGATAATGAAAGTTTGGCGTCGATCCGTCAAGCGGTTTGGAAGTTATTGCATAAAAACGGGAGGGGGCTATAAATAGCCCCCCAGTGGGGCGCGGGATAATGGTGGTGTAAGAGCGAAGGGGTTACATAAATATTAATTAGAAGTTTACCTATTCTTTTCAAATATTGTATCCAGGGGGTGCACTCCGGGCTTTAAATATTACGAAAAGTGGAGACACCTTCGCTAGCGCTGTCAGAACCGTGAGCATTCTAAAAAAAAACAAAACAAATGCAGTAATCCCACCAATCAGCGTATGTACGTCAATGCTCGACGCTCACTGGCTGATAAGCCAGTGACGATTTTGAGGGCCAGAGCGTTAGAGATAACCTATAGCAGCACGGGCCGTTCAGTTTTTGACTTGATTTTGACATTATTTAGGCAAGTCTGATAAAAACTCTGTTCATTTATGAAAACTGCGATTCATTCTCGTAGTGGTCCGACAAGTCTTGTTATGCGCCAGGCGTGGCCATAGCGGGGACGCGACGCCAGCGCCGCCTATCGGCAACGCCAGAGAACTAAGGTCAGCGAGAGCACGGATTTTGATGGGTGATAACGCAGTGTAAAAAAGGCAAGTTTGAAGTTACATGAAAATGTCGCTACGCTACGGTATAAATTGAATAAATTGAATAACATATTTATAAATAAATTGAATTGAACATAAATTGAATAACATATTTATTTTTTATCCATGGCGGATAAAAATTGGACCTGGGATCTGGCCATGGAAGAAAAAAATGTTGGTCAGTGTAAGCACGGATTTTCGTGGAAATGAGCACAGTGTGAGAAAATAGGGAAGTTACATAAAAATGTCGCTATACTACGTTGTAGGTCGCTATCTGAGCAACATATCTATGTATTTGCATCCATGACGGATAAAAAGTGGACCTGGGATCTGGCCATGGAAGAAATAAATGTTGGTCAGTGAAAGAACGGATTTTCGTGGAGATGAGCACAGTATGAAAAAATAGGGTAGTTACATTACATAAAAATGTCGCTATACTACGCAGTAGATCACAATCTGAGCAACATAGTTATGCATTTTTTATCCATGGCCACAGACTTCTCTATATATGGACTGTGCGCTGATCCGAGGAAATCAGCATTGGAGGCCCAAAAATAAGTGCACTTTTATCCATCTTTTTACAATGAAAAGGGTGTCAGAATATTTACAAATTTGGATATAGGATAGCCCATACTTTTATCTACCTGTCGGATTACATTTTTTTTTTGTTGAATTCAAAATAAATAAGAAATAAATGTATATAAATGAGAACATGTTTTCTCGTTCAGTTAGCCATTTGTTCACGCTGGAGGTATATACTTCACAAATGCAGCCGTACTTTGCGCGCATTTTCTTGCTTTTGAATGTTGGTTGCATTGTTGGTTGTCGTTGCTAATTTGTCGGAACTAGTCATTTACGTTGGTTTTGAAAAGGGTTTTGAGAAATAACGATACATTATATAGGGCCACAAGAAGCAGTAAAAATAAGTAAGAAATAGCTCGAAAAAATGGTCAAAAAAGGAAAGAATATTATCGATCACTACCTCATCACGACCGGAGCAGAAAACGTGTGGTGCGAAGATGTGAGTCCGGGTATCAAGCCAGAGTCAGGGCAAGAAAAATGTGAAACGAAACATAATTTCTAGCAAAAAGGCAACTTTTTAGCCTCCCGTATAACTAAAAGGAAAAAATGTTCACAGACGAAACCATCAATCGAGATAAGAGATAACGCTGAGGACAATCAGATTTGCAAGTTTACTTTTGCAAACACTGACTCCTGTGAGACTCACACAGCAAGAAGAAAAACAGGACGCTATCGACGGCGCCAGTCTCAGCTCAGCATACTTCCTATAATGCCTAGGGCCTTATTTTATTCTGGAGAAAAAAAAAGACTCACTGAAAGGAGCTACAAAGACTTAACTTGACCAGCAGTTAATGTGAAAAGA